ATATTTCAAAGTCAGAGATTTAGTTTTGAGGAAGGTAACTCAAAGTAATCGTGAGGTTTACGCTCGGAAGATGGGACCAACGTGGGAATAACCTTACGGAACTTTTGCTATAACCGGTAAAGGTTCATATCAATTGAAAAATCAAGATGAAGTTAAAAATTGTCAAGCAATTGGAACGTGACTCACCTAAAATGGTATTGTTATTGAAGATCCTTACTGATTCTAAAAGTAAGTGCTGCACTCTTTTTCCCTTCGTCCAGTTTTTGTCCCAATTGGGTTTTCTTGCAAGGTTTTTACTGAGCCAGCAATGTAAAGCATACTACAAAAGGGTCATTGATGATAGAAGGATCCTCAATGTTAGAATTATCATGCTTAGAATCTGAATACTCGGGGGAACTATTACATACTAAGGCACTAAAAGTATTATGAAGACCGTGGACTGTTAGAACTGAAATCAATGTCTTATCAGGACTGGGGACTTTATGATTAGCCGCGTAAAAATAAGTTGTACAAGTTAGAAACATGCATTGGCATCTTTATTTACTTAAGCAAATGAACATTTATGTAAATTTATTGTTAAAGATGGAAGGAATAAATCAAAGTCATTTTGTCTTTATCTTATTTCTTGTCGGAATGATAAGTTAATGTATCTGTTTGAAAGTTCATTAAAACTTCACATTCTTATACCAGGATGAACATGAGATGTCTTCTTTAAGAGCACCATAAACATAAGGGCCTTTATTATGAAACTCTCATAGTTAAAGGGTATATTCGGGAAGTATGAATGCCTTGGATCAAAAGTTGTCAGATGAGCTTTATCAATTAAATAAGAAGAAAAGAAAATATTTCTTGCACAATATTTAAAAAAAATATCTTTCATTACTTAAAATATCAACCACAATAAAGATGTTTTGGCATAGTTACAGTAGTTATAAAAAAAATACATCAGTTATTCTTTCTACTAGAGCCCAAAGGAAGAGAAGAGTCTTTGTTTTCATTTTCTGGAGAAGGTTGTTTCTCTTCCAGTTCGAGACCTTCATCCTTATCTTCTTCCTCTTCAGCTTCCTCTTTGGTTCCCAAATACTCGGAGACAGTGTTCGAGGAGCCAGAGGCAACGGGTCGAGCTGAGAGGTTCTTGAGAGCAGTTGTCTCCAATTCACAAGCTTTGGCAATGTAGTCATCGATGTTTGAAATACCTTCTTTGGACTCCTCCAAGGTTTTCCTCTTCATGTAATAAATGGCATACGTTTTCTCGAGGAGGATAGAATCTTCCTGGTCTTGGAGTTTAGCTTGGAGTTTTTCAATTTTTGGTTGGAGCTTATCATTTTAACCTTTCACAAGGCTGATCCTGGAATCAAGCTCTGCATTGGTTGTCGTATGAAGTTGGTTCTTCTCTATGAGCCTTTTGATCCTTTCTTCCATTTTATCTCTCTTCTCCTCGGTAGTATTGGCCTCTTCGGTTTTAGAGCGTAAGCTAGCCTCCAAGTTATTAACATGCCCCATAAAATCATACTCGCACTCGGCTGTAGTTTTCATGGCCACGCAATTCAGCCCACTTAGCCTTCGACTCCTTAAGATCTTCATGTAATTGAGCAGCTTCTTAGTTGTGGGACATCTATTCTTGCTCGTATTACAGCAATCGAGCCTCGAGTTCGCCCACTTGGGAAATTCCTCCAACACTAGGAGGCGCTCGAAAAATTGATTCCGCTCGGCCAAAAGTTGATTTCGTTCCTTGGAAAGTTCCTCTTTATCCAAAATCAACCTTTGCAGCCTTAGAAGCAAGAATGTTAGCCTAAAAAATTTAAATCAAAGGTTATTAAGGCAAAATCTAATAAACAAAAAGAGTAGAGCAGATGGTTAGATTGGTACCTGAGCCGAATAATGCATGTTGTTGTTTATCAGACACTCAGCACAGAGAGAGTCCATCTTTCTCCAATCTTTTTCCATGGCCAGTGGCTTCAGGTAATTGGCAACTTCCACCAACTTTGAGAGTAGGTGGAACTCATTCAAAACTATTAGGATGACGCTTTGTATTCCATTGGGATTTTGAGTAGGTGTCGGGTAAGTCTTCCCCAAATTTCCATGGTCGGGTGAATGTGGAGAAGGAATATATTCTATTTGTTCAGATGGGGTCAGTGGAGAGGTCACAACTGGTGAAGAAGGAGATGCGATTACAGCTGGCTCAAAAGTTGATGGTGGAGGATTATCAAAAGTAGAAGTCCTTTGACCAGAAGAAATAATGGGGATCCGAAACGAGATGCAACATTTTTGACCAATCCCATTTCCATGAAGAGTCCTTGAACTTCTTCCGGTTCAGGAGTTTGAAGCTCACCTGGATGAGCATCTGGTTGAGCTAATGAAGATCTTTTTCTTCTCTAAAAAGGAGCCGATTCATCATTGGTTCCTTCATCATCAAGGACCACTGTGGCCGGTTCGATTAGTGTTTCTTTCACATTCTCCTCCCAAGTCCTAGCTGAAGAGGTGCGTTTTCTCTTTGGCTTCTTGTTTTTGGTTGAGGACTCCGGAGGAGAAGCCTTCACCAAAGCAAAAGAAGATTCACGAGCTCTTATCCGGCTAAGGATATTTTGCAATGTCCGTTGAGCTTCCTCCAAGTTATCGAGAACCTCGATGTCGGGGCAAACAACGGATCCCTTCAGAAGTCGTGTGTAGTACAAAAACATAGTTAATAATTGATTCTAAGTCATGCTAAAGGATGAAGGGAGAAAGAAAGAACCTTTACATACCATGGTATTTTGCATTCCAATTAAATCTGGGAGCCATTTCATTCCAACTTCGAGATTCTAGTGTGAAAATATCCAAAAAATTGTACCCATTGGGCCAGGTTTTGAACCCGTGGTAATTTCCAATGAGTAGTTGGAATAATGAAAATACAAAGTTAACAAAAAAGAAAAATCTTTCTAAACATAAAAAGGAAAAGATATCTGAAGACTTACGAAAAAGGTTCCATAATTTAGGAAAAGCATGTGATGTGGTCGTGAGAATATCCCTGGTAGCGATGACAACGAATTGTTCCATCCAGCCACAACCGTCGCCATCATCAAAACTGGTAAGGAGAGCATGGTGACCATGTTTGCTAATTTTTAATCCCCCCCCCCCCTTTCGCGAAAGATTTTTGGAGAGTAGAGGTTCATCATGTGTGCAAAAGTAATTTTCGGAGACAGTCCATCGTACGCCATATTGATGGACCAGCTTGAGCAACACAGATTTGATACCGGTGGAAGAATTCTAAAATTATTGGATTAATTCCATGGCCCAATCCAAAAGTGAAAGGGTATGTGTAAAAATACATGAATCCTTGTTTGGAAAAGGTGACCCTTTCCACTTCACTAAGTGTGAAGATTTCAATGTTGTTCCATTCGCAATCTTCCTTCACGATAGGGATGCTAGACGAATGGAATAAGGGTAACTGTGAACATGCCAGTGTCTGCCACTTTCGGGGTTATGGGTTCTTTCTGGACTTGAAGGTCAGACTGGGTATTAAGTTGAAGAGGTATGATGGAGTTCACGGTAGGAGATTCAGCCTCGACATCAACCTCTTTTGTTTTGTTCTTCTTAGGGCCACCTTCGAAGACAAGGCCGGTGTTTCCAAGGACAACGGTGTTAAAAGACATGTTTTAATGAGGAAGATGAACTTCGCAGTAGGATTCTAAGAAGAAAAAGAGTTTGTGAAAGTGAAAAGTAAAATTGAAGCGTAGGAAAGGAGTTTATAAGCGGGATAATTCGTGGCCATGATTATCTTGGAAACTGGTAAAAATATTTGCCAAATCACGGGATAACACGTGTTCGGTCATTAAATGCGAAGAGACATGCATCCTTTCAAGTGTCCGAAACCGTTCAGAAACTCACCCGCTAAGAAATAATGTTTTATCTACTTCCCGGTAACACTAAAGTATTGTCATCAGAAAATAGGGAGACTATCTATATGGGGTAAAATTGGTTAGCGACAGTTGGACAAATGACGAGATGACATGTAGAACTGAAGACATGTAATATGTGAGTCAGCAAATAGTTAGCACCGGATGCAAGCATGCGATCGGTTCTCTGTGAATTCCAAAGGCATGAGAACTGATAACAAAGATTTGAGATGACATCGGATATGAGCTTACAAAGAATTTCTTTAATAATAGCCAACTGCTATGCCGCTATCAATAGTGGTTTTATTCTCATTTAAGAGGAGTTTGATTTGGGGATCTTGTCTCCCTCAATAGAGCTATAAATAGGAGAATTAATATCCATTGTATGACATGAAAAATCTCTGTACACAAAGGATATAATTTGCTCTCATGTTATAAAATTATTCGCTCTATTTGTTCTTAATTTTATTCATATCACTGCTTTTGGGAAGGCTTATCATACGATCACTTGTATTTCTTTAAGTTATTTTTATATTCTTGATTTTAATTCTATTATTTTCGTATTTTTAGATCATGTTAATTCACGTGTCTATAAATCACGTTACAAATTCAACTATACAAGTAAACAATAGAGAAATCTCGAAACAATGTTGCGAAGGCTCACATCCCGACCTAACAAACTCTAGAAACCTGACTTAGACGATCAATAGCAGAACCTAACCATCCTTTTCATTTCTTTACATTGCATTGAAACATAAATTTCTTCTTGGATGACGAGATTATAAACAAAAAAAGTAATTACGTGATAATCAAACAAAATTACGTTCATACCCTACATTAATTTGACATCAAATTAAAATTAAAAGGGGTGCGTAAAGAGAAGCGAAATCACATAAAGAAATACATCCCGCTATAAGAGTTTAAACATACCGAAGACCAAGAATTTTACTGGTTAATCTCGTGTTCGTGATAAATTCAAGGGATTTTTTCTTTTAATGCGACAAGCAGTGCACTAAAAGCTGTAGTAATTTAGAATTGTGTCTTCTCATCGTTCTCTGATGCAAAACCCAGTGCAGACAGATATAATAATCTCCATTTTCCCTTGAATTTCTTTATCCATCCAAATGGCACAAAGGAAATCCAATTTTTGGATGTCTCTTATTAATTCCCAATTCCAGTAATGCTACTGCATATCATGTTTCAGCAATATGAAAGCACGTTACAGTAAAAGACCAATTACTAATGCAGAATGCTCACTGGTATATTTTACAAGGAGGTGCTCTGACCAGTATACCCTACATAGTTCATTTTTGTTTTCAATGATAATCTATAATCTAAAAAAAAGCTATGAACAGAAGAACTAGGAATTGTATCACCATCGGTTTTCAGGACATCAGTCTCCGATATAGAAGTTTCCGGTGCACGGTATATGTATTTTGCTTCTCAAGCTTCTTCCACAAATACAAAGCTCTTCTAATTATGGTATCCGCGGAAAATCCTTCAGCATAAGCACTAATAGCCGTTAAGAGGCTAGTAAATTTCTCCCCGCCATCCTGCATCCAAAATCTCAACTTTCAGATGCCAGCAATCATACATGCATCAGCATTTGCTTTAGTTTTTCATAAGTTCTTGACCTGATTTTCTAATGCTTGTTGCAAACTATAAAACTTCAAGCTTCAATATAATATACACACGCATAGCAAAAACCTATCTCGGACATAGACCTAATCTCGAAAACAGATAAGTAGCTTACACCAAGTTCAGGCATCAGGCTAATCAAAACTCACACAACAAACATTTGCAGGGAAAGACAAGGTTCTTTTAAATGTATGGACTACTCTAGCTGCTGTCTGTGTGGACCTTGAAATTCGTTATGTGGAACATTTATCTGTGAGCAATGTATAGACATACTGCATGTCAAAATTTATTCTTCCGAGGAAAGAGCAATATTCCATAGGCTGAAAACAAATATACGAGAAATTTGGGCTAGAAGAACAACATACTTCACAATTAATAACCACGTGTACGGTACATGTATAATGCGAGAGATTTAGAAGTTCAACTCCCTGAAGTGCCCTGTCCTCACTCTAGGAAAACTATTTTACTATTTGGCACCAGACAAATTTGGATGGTTGGATGTTGGCGAATAGCTTATAGACATCAACAAACATGGACACTGCAGGTCTAAGGAGGACAACAACAACAACAACAACCCAGTAAAGTCCCACTAAGTGGGGTCTGAGGAGGGTAGTGTGTACGCAGACCTTACCCCTACCCCGATAGGGCAGAGAGGCTGTTTCCGATAGACCCTCGGCTCAGGAAGATGGAAATAAAACAAGAAAACAAGAAAAGACAATTCATCAGTAACGTCAACAAAACCATAGAAATAATGACAGCATCCTAAAAACCATAAAATAGATGACATGCAATAACAATAACCCGCAACTAAGGTCCAGAGCTATGGAAAACAGTAAGGTTAGTGTGAACTCTACATTAACCACAAGCCGTCTAGGACCAACCTACTCAAACTCGCTTCACCCCCGGAATGGAGAAGGAGAAGCTCGACTACCACTCTATCCTACAACCCTAATGCTCGACCTCCAGACCTTCCTATCAAGGGCCATGTCCTCGGAAATCTGCAATCGTGTCATGTCTTGCTTGATCACCTCTCCCCAATACTTCTTAGGTCGTCATCTACCTCTTCTTGTACCCCTAAAGCCAGCAGCTCACACCTCCTCACCGGAGCATCCAAGCTTCTCCTCCGCATGTGCCCGAACCATCTGAGTCTCGCTTCCCGCATCTTGTCATCCACAGAGGCCACACCCACCTTCTTCCGAATATCTTCATTCCTAATCTTATCTATCCTAGTGTGCCCGCACATCCACCTCAACATCTTCATCTCAACTACCTTCATCTTTTGGATATGAGAGTTCTTAACTGGCCAACACTCTGTCCTATACAACATGGCCGGTCTAACCACCGCCCTATAAAACTTACCTTTGAGTATCGGTGGCACTTTCTTGTCACATAAGACTCCAGATGCTAGCCTCCATTTCGTCCACCCCACTCCTATGCGGTGAGTGACGTCCTCGTCAATCTCTCCATCCCCTTAAATAACCAACCCAAGGTACTTGAAACTACCTCTCTTGGGGATGACCTGTGATCCAAGCCTCACATCCATGCCTACTTCCCTCGACTCGGCGCTGAACTTGCACTCCATGTACTCTGTCTTAGTCCTAGTCAATTTGAAACCCTTAGACTCGAGAGCCTGTCTCCAAACCTCTAACCTCTCATTAACACCGTCCTGCGTCTCATCAATCAGGACTATGTCCTCAGCGAATAACATACACCATGGCACTTCCCCTTAAATATGGTGTGTTAGTGCATCCATTACTAAGGCAAATAAGAACGGGCTAAGCGTTGATCCTTGGTGTAACCCCATAACAACCGGGAAATGCTCCGAGTCGCCTCCTACAGTCCTTACCCTAATCTTAGCTCCATCATACATGTCCTTGATCGCTCTAACTGCAGGTCTAAGGACCTTGAATAAATGAATTGTTGAGTTGCACCCAAACGGAGGCAGCATGAAGATTTCTAGAGGAAAAGCTACTTCGTATTAATATTGACTCACCTCTGGTTTCTCAAATATCAAGTCATCGGGGGCAAAAGGAACCATGTAGGATGGCAGATCACATCGTAATATTGCCTGCATAATTTACAAAATTAATCAACAGGATGAATGATGAGTCACAGGTACATATCATAGGGAAAAAGCTACATACTAGATCCTTGCTTAGTCTAGCCAGCTCTGCATTGGATAGCAATACCTGAAAACAAATTAACCAGTCAACTTAAGTGTTCAACTTATGACACACCTACTCGTCAAAAGCAGAAGAATGTGGAAGGGATCACACACGGAAGGGCATAATTCCATGAAGAAATCATTAACACATTCAAGAATAATTAATGAAGGAATAGAAATATTAGCTTATCTAGAGATTAAAAGAAAAGGAAACAAGAAAAGCTGAACAGTCAGCTTTTCTTGATCTCATGATTAAAACCAGCTCCTTTTGAAGAAGATTCCAAGGAAATACACAAAACATATCGGCAAATTGACATAGTAAGAGGTACGAGCATAGTTCCCAACCCAAAAGGATAAGTAAAATATTATTTCCTGGAAATGTCAGTATATCATACTAAAAGGCTGATAAAATAATGTAAACTTAAATATAAGATTAATGACAGAAATTAATTTTGAGGAGTACTTTTGATGGTTTCCTGTCAAAGAAAGTCGTTCATATTTTCATCTGACATAGGATAAAGAACATAATGCTTGAAGCTAAACAAACTAGCTAACCTACAACGTAACTATCCCAATTTATAATATTTAAGTATATCTGTACAGAATAATATCAGCAAGAAAATCTCTGAAATCAGCAAGTGGTATACTGATTTGGTAATACAACAAAAAACTGTAATCCAAGTGGGATCTGGGGAAGGTAGTGTGTACGCAGACCTTACCCCTACCTTTAAGAAGGCAGAGAGCCAGTTTCCGCTAGACACTCGGCTCATGAAAAATGAAAAAGGAAGGACCAACAATAACAACAAAAAAAAAACAAATCAGAAAATTGAAGCGAAAGAAACAAGTAATAACAGAAATCTAAGAATAAGAAAATACAAGACTAACATTAAGTAATGCACTAAAACTACTGGTATGAGCCAGGACAATACTCGGCTACCTAGCCCTCTACTTTAATTCTCAACCTCCACATTGTCCTATCCAGGATCATGTTCTCGCTAAGCTGGAGAATCGCCATGTCTTGCCTAATACCTCTCTGGCCTGCCTCTACCTCTCCGGCCCTCCAAAATCAACCGCTCATACCTCCTCACTGGGGCATCTATGCCTCTCCTCTTCCCATACTGGAACCATCTAAGCTCGCTTCCCACATCTTGTCCTCCACAGGGGCCACGCCCACCTTGTCCCGAATAACTTCATCCATAATTTTATCTATCATGGATATGCCCGCATGTCCATCTCAGCATCCTCATTTCTGCCACTTTCATCTTCTGGGCATAGGAGTTCTTGACTGGCCAACACTCAGTCACATACAACATAGTCAATCTGTCCACCGCTTTATAGAACTTATCTTAAGTTTTGGTGGCACATTCTTATCACACAAAATACAGGAAGCGGGCCTCTATTTCATCCACCGTGCTCCAATACGATATGTGACATCCTTGTCAATCTCCCCATTTATAACTCAACCAAAGTACTTGATGCTTTCTCTCGTAGGGATGACTTTTGAATCAAGTCTCACGTCTTCGTCCACTTCCTAAGTTGCACCACTGAACTTGGACTCTAAGTAGTCTGTCTTGGTTCTGCTCAACTTGAAACCTTTAGACTCCAGGGTCTGCCTTGGTCATATTTGGTTTACTCAAGCAAGGGCAAACCATGTCATCTTGACATATGCAATCATCGTCACCAATGCTCTTGATTTGGCAACATCCATACGTATTAACACGCTAGAGAAAAAATATTCCCTGCCTCTAGTGGGGCTTTTACAATTCAAACGACGACATGGCATCAAATTTTACTGTTTTCATGGTGAAGCTGAAAGCGCACCCATCCAAGACCTTCATACTTTCCGAACTAAACTTTAAGAAGTAAAAAAAGAGACTGGCATTTTCCTTCGTATGGCTCCCGGCAAGACTCTTGCTCAAATGCTAGAGAGCGGACGTAAGGAAGACAAATCAAGAATCATCGCAATGTTAGCATGCAACGTTCCGAGTAAGATATCTCTTTAGAAATAGATTCAGTATACTGAAATTTCTTAAAATTTAAATGCTTCGTTTAGTTGATTGATTTATATTTAAAAACTTCTAAATTTAAACTCAAAACTAAATCGAAATTTTATTGTTGAGAAAGTAACATACTAAATCCAAACTTTTATTAAATTATTTTCTAATCCGTACTCCATTGCAGGAAAAGAGAAAGCTAAAACCTATAGTGAGTGGAACTATTGCTAAACCTCGTTGTTATAAGAATGTAGACATGGCCTCTCTGTCATACATCAACTATTTTTACAACAAAAAAGCATGGATGACTCGTGAAATTTTCAAACAATACATGCTTAGTCTAAATGCTAAATTTGAAGATGAAAATTGCAAGATTCTATTATTGATGGACAATGTTACTCCTCATGAGATCGAGGAATACGAAAGTCAACTAACATACGTTAAAGTACTTGTTGTAGCCTTGATCATGTGCTAATACATTTAATTATTCAGGTTCAACATCTCCTACCCAATACGATATCACATATTCAGCCTGCAGATGCTGGTATTATTGCAAAGTTTAAAGTTAAGTACAAAAGCCGTTTCATCAAGCATTTGATTGATGAATATGAGCGCAATGGGAGCCATCCATTATGTAGTGACAATAAGTTCAATATGCGGCAAGCTATTAACACTCTAGTAGAAGCATGGAATGATGTGAAGGCTCCACCATTCTCAATTGTTGGAAAAAAACTGGAATCGTGCCTACAGATGATAATCCCAATGCTAATAGTGAAAACATAGAACTGGTTAAGTATGTTGGGAATGTATCATCATTTATAGTTCAAATTTCATTACAATGGATGCTACCACATATGTGCAGTTTGATGTAACACTTCCTATTATTGAAGCTTTCACTGATGAATAAATTATTGCACAAGTTATTGGAGTGGAAGAAAAAGACACTATGGAGACAGATGAAAGTGCTGACGAAGAACCTCAAAATACTGCTACTTGAACTGAGATAGAAGATTCAGCTATCAAGCTATCAAATTGCCTTCAAGGAAAAGCTATTGGATACCCTTTCGTTGAATGTTTGCATGCAAATCTTCACCAATTCAAGCATTATACCACTACTAAGATACTAAAATCTACGAAACAAACTATAATTACAGAGTTCTTCTATCAATCTTGAAAGAATTTACTCCCTCAGTTCCAGTTTATGTGAACCTATTTTCTTTTTGGTCTGTTCCAAAAAGAATGACCCCTTTCTAAATTTGGTAACAATTTAGCTTAAACTTACAATTCTGCCCTTAGTGAGAAACTTTTATAACCATACAAATACTCTAGGCTCCTTTTTGACTTGTTTAGGACCACAAATTCCAAAAGTCGTCATTTTTTCTTAAGCTTCGTGCCCAATTAAATAGGTTCACATATATTGAAACGGAGGGAGTAATTTTCTAGCAGCTTTAAAATATGTGCCTTAGAGTACAATTTTTTGTACGTTTAGTTATGGATTTATTAATAATTTATTACATTTCTTTAACATTTAATTAGTTGTATATTTATATCTTTTGAGATTTTAAACTTGAATTTGTTTTTATCTTTTATATGCAACATATAAAAAAGGAAAAAATTAATTCTTGGATAATTTTTGTCTATAACAGCCAAAATATATTTAGGCTCCAAATGCTATTATAGGTGTATAACACCCATTCTACAAAAGTCAAAAAAGTGTCGAAGCAAACGATGCTATTATAGAAAGGTTTGACTATACCCCATTTTGTTGGGATGTGTAAGGAGGACAAGAGGGGTGATGATGATCCCATGAGAGGTTCTGAACTGTTGAAATGGAAAAGACAAGTATTATGAGGCGTTATCACTATGAAATGTGCAGATAGAAACTCCAAATTGATTTTGGATTTCAGCATGAAAGGTCCGAAAAATAGAAAACTCAAATCGATTTTTCATCAAGAATATCCAAGTGTACTTCGAATAATCACTATGTTACGTGGACTCTCCAAAATGCTGCCACACTCGTATCAGATCCTCCAAAAATATACTACATTCGGAGAATATGACACACACCCAACGGTATTTCCGGAGAGTCCGAACAACATAAAATAATCCTCAATAAAACTAACAAAGTAACAAAATTCCAAGGTAGAACTGACCTGCCAAGAACCCCAAATATGTTAATGAACTTAAGTCAACAAGTGAGACTAACCAAGTACTATTTTCTGAAGTTTTGATAAACTAGGATGTTCCAATAGTTTATGTAATAAATCGAGCAAATCGGTAATAGGATAAGTTGTTGGGGGAGGACAAGATGTAAGTGATTTAGGAAGAGTAAGGCAATAAAATCCGTGTAGTTCACGTCCAATACCAATGATTCATCCCATACTTGATCTTGTATTAAGACAATCATAAATAAAATAAAAAATAGAACAATTAAATATTTTGGCTAAGTGACTAATTGATATGAGATTAAGGCCTCATTTGTTTTGTTTAAGATTAAGATGTCTAAATCTGAATACATATATGAATATCAAAATGTATATTAAGATCAAAATGCAACAGTAGAATTATTTTGGAGGTGGAAGAGAGACAAACATATACCTACCACATTGTTAACATTTTCAAATAGAGCTTTTAATTCATAGGATTGACTGTTTCTTCTCACTATGGCCTTGCTTCAGGCTATTCACATCCTATAATTTGTGAACTGTGAAATACAAAACCAGCACAGACACACATGCATATACAGAGAAAAATGTCTTAAACTCCAAAAAGATGGTATTTGGCAGATAACATCTCTTTAATTGTCAGAAATCACGAACAATAAACTAGATTTCCTCTTCTTCACCTCTGCACATTATCTTTTTTCAGCAGGGTGAATTGCCATCATATTCCATTGAACAAAGATATGGTCTAAAACAATCATGAAATAATATCATAATTCCAGCTAAAGGAATAAAAAGAACAAAACAGTAGGAGTGCAACCAATTCACAGCCACAGTAACTCGGATCCTGTTCACATCAACAGTAATTCTAGAACTGCGAGATGCAGACCCAAGACTGTGATATACTGCTTTCCATTAGAGTATTATCAAATCTAAGCTCAATTTCTGTTTCCTAACAATACCCTGGGATAATAAATATGCATGGGCTTCCTCTGGAGGAGGCAATTTAAATGGACAAATTAAAGAACGGACAATTGAAAATGTTGAATCTCATCTGATAATCACTACTAAGAGAAGAAGAATATACCACAATCGTAAATCAGCAGGCATTACCTTTCTAATTCGCTCCTCCTCAACTTGTTCAACACGTTCCAATAAGTTTTCTAGTGTTCCTATTCAATAAGATCACGATGGAAACAAGTTAGTATAGATCTAAATTAAAGCTGATTAAAGGGAACAAAAACTACTACATAAATGAAGGAAGATAAAAAAGCAAAGAGAAAAGAATACATTAAAAACCAATGCTATTCAAATAGATTAATACATGTCTTACTTTTATTAACAAACAGTTCATTTTTTGAAGAAGTGTAATATTAAAGAAATGCAACCATGGTACGACATTTATAAGATTAATAACTTATTTAATTCTTCCTCCATCCCACAAAGAATGATCGGGGATTTTGTGTATAGGATCAACTCATTTAATTTGTAGCGTGACTTTGAAAATCCATCTCTTAGGTAATAGATATTGTGGACATTGAGGCGTTTCATTGCGTTTCAAGAAAAGTTTTGCATGTTTGAAAACTCAAAACAAAGAGGTTTTATTGGCTAGTAAAAAGTGAGACTAGGTCAAGTAGGCATGCAAACACTATCACATTGTGGCAGCTTGCACCATACTCCTTGTTACTTTATCAGTTCTAACTTACTCCTTAGAGAGCTATGGCATCAAGAGTTACTTAATACATGGGTTCTGATAAAAAATTTGCCTTTGTTGTTAAATCTCTCTTTCTCCCAAGCGAAAAATCCTATTTTGACTCAGAATGGCATCATGTCAGGCATGTGTCTAATAGGAAATGTTGGGGATCTCAAGTCATTTAGAACCTCATGTCGTTCTTACAAAGGTCGTTCCTATCCTCGTCTATATTCAACACGTCTAGTCACACGTGGAGCAACATGGTCAGTATCTGTTTAGGTTCAGCCTTCAAGAGGCCGGGGGCACACGCCAGGACCCTTATTTACAGCACTGCTGCACTGGTGCATCTTTACGGGGCATGTTACAGAGCTTGAGCATGACAGACGCCCCTGGACCATCCCAGCGAGACCCGTCACATTCAAAGTTGCTTGAGGAGGCTTTTTATTTATACTAGTATTAGAACCCGCGCGATGCGCGGATAATTTGACAGAATATTTATATTTTAAAATTATGATCTAATATATCATATTATATTAATAAATATTAGTTACGTATTATTTTATTATTTAACGTAATGTACAGAAATAAAATAAAATCTGTACAAAATCAAAGGATACACATCATATAATAATCAAATAAATTATTTATTCCTTGTTTATTCTCTATTAAATTAGCAACTTAGTACTAAACATTTACTAATGTGAATTTTTATTAACTTGTCAATTGGCTTAATACTATTTTTCTTATAATAGAACATAAGTATATATTTTCTTATTTTGAAAATATTTTTTTATACTTATGTTATACTGTTCAAAAAATTTAAATTGTCTAAATTTATCAATAATTTTCTTAAGCGTTATTTATTTATCTTTTATCTATTATTATAAAATTATCTCTATCCCCCTCTTGTCGTATATTCTTTTCTACTGTAATATTTGATTAGTTTTCTCATTTTGTATGTTACTGAAAATTTAAATAATATAATTTTTTTTTACTAAATTATAATTTTGAATTCATCAAAAGTATAAAGTGATAAGCCTTTTATTATTTTTATAAAAAACCTACTAATATTTTTAATAATTAATAATTTGTATTTTATATATAAATTAAAACACCTTCACATATAAACCTAATACTCCCCAAACCCTAAACCTAAAAATTCCCCACAATCGCAACTCACCCCCACCCTTGTTGCCGCGTGGACTCACTAGAAAATCCACTCATTTGATCCTCAATGGTTCCCTCTCCTCTTATCCCTTTCTTCCACGTCACCAAAATCCTAACAAACTCGAATATTCTCCTCATGATTTCATCCGAATTATCCCTCAAATACATCACGCGTTTTGTTCTCTTTTGGGATGATTTTGAGATGACCGGGAGCCATAGGATTAGGGGATTTGATCCTAGCCTTCCATTTGTCAAAAATTCGTCCAAACTTGAAGAGATCTACGAATATAAGCCATTTCTTGAAAAACAAGCAGAGAGGCTTCAAGATTTCCTATTTAATGAATTCATTCGGATTTTGGGGCTGGACACGGTTTTGGAGAGAGAAAAAAAAGAATGAGGCTTTTGAGGATTTCTATTCTTTTGAGTTTTCTTTTTAAATTTTTAGAAAGGAAAAAACATACAAAAAAATATTTCTTTTGTTGAATCAATTGTGATTGAGCTTCAGAAAAGAAAAATATACAAAAATACTTAAGTTGTCTTTTTAATTTCGGTTTCAAAAATGGATTTCCCTTGAGGTGCTAAGATTTGGTTCAAATTCATGATTTCGGACTCCGTTTCCGGGAGTGAATTAGCCACAGTTTCAGTGGATTTCGGACTCAAAGTTTGTAGCAGACTTTGTTCATTTTGCTATTTAAGGAAGATTGTTATTTCAGGTTCATCTCTTTTCCTCTCTTATTGTTTATGCTATATGTGCTTTTTAAGCTTGGTATTGGCATGTTATTCTTAGTTTCTCTTTTGTTTGAGTTTTATAAAAACCATGGGAATAATTTTCGGACACAGTGGGGGTATGATCTCAACTTCTGTTCTAACATTTAACCAAGTTTTGTATACGTAGTTTTGTTCAATTTGTATCGAAGTCATCGTGAGATGAGATTTTGATTTGTTTTAAAGGAATTTCATATGTCTAAAGCTTCAAAGCAATGTCAAAGTTTTCTTATAATTTTTCTCTTAACTTTAATATGTTTATCATGAGAATTCAAGTCTAGTGATCCATGTGGGAGTCTTGATACTCAAAGTCTTAAAATAGTTTCTTTGGGAGGTCATATTTTTGTGTCTTTTATTCTTAGTTACCTATCTTTATGATTATGTCCAAATCAAATTGATATCACTAAGCACACAATGAATTATTTTCCTATAATTAAAGTTATAATTTGAATCTAATCACACTTAGGTGAAGCATTTCTAGTATATTTCTAAGTGTATTTCCTTAAATCTTAGGTTTATTAATTAGGAATTCACTAATATTTCTTAAAAATAATAATTTTTTTAAAGAGGGTTGCTAAAAAAGGGTGTGACACCACCTGCTCGGCTCGTTAAAGGTGGAGGCCATTCAGTTAGAGGTCGTCCTAGAGGAGGACAAATCGGTGGGGGTCAGGCTCTTTGTTATGCAGTCATCACAGGTATTATTTCAGTCTATCATACAAATGATTTAGTATTATTTCATCTGGGTTCTACATATTCATACGTGTCATCTTACATTGCATCACATTTGGGTATGACTCTGATTCTTTGGATATTCCTGTTTATATACCATCCTACTGAGGAAGATCGGGTTTATCGGTCTTGTGTAGTTACTATTAATGGGTATGACACGATTGTTGATATTCCTGTTTATTGTGATTTGAAGCAACACTATTGGCAGTAGAGGATAAAGAAGGATATTGTTGGGCATGTTCACGATGTCTGAATTGCCAGCAAGTTAAAAATGAACATCGGAAACCAAGTGGTTTGATTCAGAAGATGGCTATACTGGCGCGAAAGTGAGAGCATATTACTATGGACTTTGTGGCAGGCTTACCATGTACCTTGAGGTAGGTTGATGCTATTTGGGTCATTGTGGAAAAGTTGACCAAGACCGCACATATCATATCGATGTTGATTACTTATACTTTGAAGAAGTTGGCCCGGATTTACATTAGGGAGATAGTTCATTTGCATGGCGTGCTTATTTCTATCATTTTAAACCGAGATAGTCAGTTCACATCACTTTTGGAGAACTGTTCCGTGGGAGTTAGGTAAGCAGGTTGTCAGCTCAGCATGGTTTTTCCCCCACAAACGGATGGTCAAACCAAGCGGACTACTCAAATTCTTGAGAACATGTTACGAGCTTGTGCGATTGACTTTGAAGGTCAGTAGGATCAGTTCTTACCTTTGGCGGAGCTTGCTTACAATAACAGGTATCGGGCCAGCATTCAGAAGGCTCCATATGAGGCTTTGTATGGTAAACAGTGTTGTTCTCTTGTTGGTTGGGTTAAGCCTAGCGAGGCTAGACTGTTGGATACAGAATTGGTACATGATGTTGTTGGTTGGCTTAATTATTAGGAAAGATTTGATTCTGATTGATTGTAATTTATTTTCCTTCCTAAAATAGTCATAGGACCTACTATATACATACATTTGCTTAGGGATGTAAGAAATACACGAGAAATACAAGAAGCCTTTTCTTCTTCTCAAAAATCTACATCGTATCAGAGTCATTGCTGTCTTTTTTAGGTAAGTTATCTCCATCGCAGCACTAGGGTTCTATTTTTATTAAAGAGATGGAGTTTTCTCTCTCTTGGCGGATGTCCGCAACACAAACTCCTTCCGGTTCCATCGAGATAGATTTGGTTTTCGGCGAGGCAAATTATTTTTGAGCAATTTTCTTCAGATTTCCTTCTGATTGGGCAGAAATATGAAGTCATTCAAGGAGACGGTTTCCGGAGAAATCTTGTCTTTCGGATGAAATTCAGCTTCTTCGTCGCCTCCTAACCAAACTTAACTCTACTCATGTTGCCACATCCAATTATATGCGATGAGGTACTGCCTATGTTGCTCACCTTAATTCTTGGATTGTTGATTCTAGTGCAAATAGACACGTGACAGGCTCTTCTAAAGGCATTCAAAACTATTATCCATATCTCAAAGGAGATAATGTTAAAATGACCAATGGTTCTTTAACACCTGTCTAGAAAGGCATTGCATTCTCCGGATAATTCAAATCAAAGCAATTGGATATCCATCTCGGGCCTATATGACATGACCGATCAATAGAACCACCTTTGTCATATATTCCATACATCACACTAGATAGATATCATATTCATGGAATACGATTAACTTTCAAGATGCCTTGGTGGTGAAATGATCACGCGAGACTCAAAATATCGTGCTAAATAGCATGGAGGTTCGAGTCTTCTTCAAGGCATAATATTGAGAATGCTCATTGAATGAGCATTCTCAATAAGAGAGCTAGGAACAGGTTCTGTCGTT